AAAAAAAAAGAAAAACAAAGAATTGGAAGCTTAGGGAACGACTTAAAACTATCGATGTTCTTTCGAATATTATAGCTTCCTGACATTTTTTAATTTATTCTTAAAAAATGATAAAGCATTGGAAGCCTAGGAAAACGTGGAAATTACGTACAAGTGGAGAAGATTCACGTGGCTGATGCCTTCCTCAATGGAACCTCGAATGGAGCTCGAATCAAAACATGGCAGGTACCTCAGTATGATGCTTTATTGATGTTATTCTGATCAAATGTTTTTAATAAATAACTATAATACATTCATAACAAGTAAAATTTGATATATTTTTTTTATATGCTTGATATGGGAAAGGTCGGAAGAGGATATGTTCGAGACGTAACTTTCGAAAACCTTAGATTCAACCACGTCAAGAATCCCCTAATCATCGATCAGAACTATTGCAACATCAGGGGCGCATGCAAGGAGCGAGTAAGATGTTAATCGCGCATTTATGTATAAATTATCGCTCAACCAAGAAACCAAGTTTTGAAGTATATTCGAAGGGTAATGCATTGATTCCTTTTGTTAACGATCTTTCATTTAGGAAACGGGAGTTCAAATAAGCAATGTGATTTACAAAGACATAGTTGGGACATCCTCCACTGATATTGCGATTAACCTCAACTGCAGTAAGTCTGTACCATGCTTTGGAATATCAATGGAGTCCGTATATTTATCGTCAGCAAAAATCGGGAAGAAGGTCACTGCATATTGTAATAATGCTTATGGTGAAGAGACTGATGTGGTTCCTGGTCCTTGTCTTATTGCTGAATAACAGAATATATATGAAATCATACAAATCTTGTGCTTTGTTTGTTTACATAACGATGCATTAAATTATATTGCTAAATATGGAGAGACTCGGAGAAATTCACATCGAATTTCTTGATCCTAGGTGCTTCACTCAAAGTCTCCATCCCACAGAAAATGTCAAATGCCCCTTGACTAATTGTCTGTTTGTTTATAAATTTATCCATGTTCAATTTATACATAAAATTTAACTTAACTCTAACCAAATTCTATTATCTTTAATATTATTAATATAATTAAATAATATCAAACAATTATTCTTATACATTACATCAATTTTAATTCAGTAGTCATTCACTCACATCATTTTAACTGATCATCACTTTACATTATTTTTCTCGTCAAATCAAATTTAATAATTTTGTTTAAATTATTATTTTAATATAACTTTAAAATTTCGCTAACAACTAATTATAACAACTTTTTTTAAATTAACTTTAGTTAACTAAAAACTCATTTTTAGCCAATATATTTGTTTTTAGGACACGATAGTAAACAAAAATTTTAATCATTTTATTAAAATAATATTTAAAATAAAATAATTAAAACGTAAAAACATTATAAACATAATGCGATGGTACTTCTTCGCCTCAAACGGATCTACGCGTGCCCGTCCGCCAAGCAAGGGGGGGGATGCCGAAGGCAGGGCTAGTGACTGGAGTGAAGTCGTAACAAGGTAGCCGTACTGGAACGTAAGCTCCCAAGCAGTGGGAGGAGCCATAGCTCTGACCGCGTGCCTGTTGAAGAATGAGCCGGCGACTCATAGGCAGTGGCTTGGTTAAGGATTAATAAACCTTCCATTTTCTTCTCCATCCTCGTTTGTTTAATAGGGATAGTCAAAGTTCAATATTATTTACAAGACCTATTGAAAATGTTTTTTGTTCAAATGACCCTTCTATTAAATAAAGATAAATAAATATTTAAATTACCAAAAATATCCTTATATAATTATAAAAGAAAAAACAAAAAAAAAAAAGATTTTCAATAGAAGTTCAATCGATCGAGGTTTCTTCTCCTCATTCTCTTCTCTGATTCTTATTCTCTTCAAGAAGAAGAAAACAAAAACTTTATAAATTTTAAATTTTATATGGCAAAACAAATGTGTTGATGGTTGCGGCGTTCTAGAAAAAGATCTAGGGCTGTGACTTTTCTAGGATTTTACATGGATAAATCTCCTTCTTCAGCCGTCAGATTTAGTGAATTAATTTGAGTCGTTCGATCTGTTCGTTTTATAAATTGGGCCTGATTGATGTTACTATGATTGGGCTTCATACTACGCTTACATTTTGGGCTAATTAATTTGACATATTAATTGAATTTTTGGTTAAAAAAGAATAGGCACATCCAGTTAGTTTACTTAAATTTTAGGACTGGTTCATTTTATGCCTTATTGTCTTAGTACTGATAAATGCGAATTAGTTAAAATTGTCTACTTAAAATTTTAATTCATTATAATATTTTGTATATAATTATTTCTCAAATACAATTTTATTTATATTATATTATTTTTTAAATATACACATTGAACTTATTTACAATTTTTTTAGTTAAACGCGCTACACTACAAGTATAGAAGTAATGTTACCATGGCACAATTAGACTCTATATTGGATATTGTTCAAAACGTTCACCGGACACATAACGAGTGGTAATTATGTATATTTTTTGTTATTGCTAACATTTTATCATATATTGTTTGTAAATTTTAACATTTTAATATTGACAATTTATATGCAATATTTATTAAAGGACTCTCATATCCAAATATATTGCAAACAATAATCGAACCCCAAGTAAGTCATATTAGAGTCATATTACACAAATTCAAATACAAACATTAATTTGTATTATATTTTTGTGTTCAATGTACTAATTAAACTTATTGACATTTTTATTCGAGTTGCTCGCGCCACAAGACCAAATTTTAGAACTAATTATATCGTGGCACAATCGAACTCTATATTTGATATTGTTCAACCTTCACCTCTTAGTGACATAACAAATGTTATTTATGTATATTATTTCTTATTGTTAACACTTTCGCATTTGTTGTTTGTAAAATATTAACATTTTATTATTGAAATTTATATGCAGTATTTAGAAGCGTATCATCATATCTAATTGCTGTTGGTCGTGATAATCTAATCCCAAGTAAGTCATATTTGAAATAACACATTATTTTTTATGTTATTATGAACAATAATATTTTTTTACGTTATGTCAACTTCATGTTAACTGACGAGATTTCAATTGGTTTACCTACAAGGCAAACAAAAGATATTGTTTACAAAGGGCCCGGCCAACCCGACCTTGACCCTATCGACCCAGGGCATTGACCCGGTCTTTATATATTTTTTTTTTATTTTTTAAAATAATTTTTGTTTTTAAAAAATAAAAATATGTATAATATTCTCAGGAAAATACATATTATTAACACTTTGATGTACAAATCATATATACAAAACTTTTAATGTTTTAGTTTATGTAAATTTATATGACAAAATACTCTATATATTATTTTAAAAAAAAAAAAATTAAAATTAATAATCCGATTCAGCAACTGACCCGGTGACCCAGAGACCTGCCCGGGTTTAAAAAACTATGCTTAAACGGACATAATATGTGAAAATAACTAATTTAATATTTCTGTCTCGTGCATCGCACGTGATACGTACTAGTAGATATAGATATAGATTAGTTATGTATGGACAATAAATAAATTAACAAGTAGATTAATATTGGCCTTATGAAATTTGAAAAATTCTATACCTAAAATTAAAGACAAATTTGGACACTTAGAATAAATTAAAGCAAGAATCTCACGTTTTTTTTTTATCTTTTAGAATATATTTTTAAACAAATTTTGTACAAACAATGGAATTCAAAAAAATTAAAATACCGATGTATACAATTACAAATTATTTTTTGGGCTTTCTTCTTCTTCCTTTTTTTTTTACGCTTTTTTTTGTTCTGGGAGAAAAGCGAAAACAGTTTTTGTTTAGTTTTTAGCTTTTGAATTATTTTTCTTCGGTTTCATCAATCTTTCTTTCTTTTTTATTTTTTTATTATTATTATTTGGAAGAGTTTTGTTATATTTGGAATCTTATTTGGAAGAGTTTTTAAATCTAACAATGAGGTGTCCGCGGATCATGAAGGTCTTCTTATATAATCAAATTTTGCCTTACATCATAATTAAATAAATTCCCTTACAAAAATTTATATTATTATCTGATTGGGACATCATGAGGGAATTGATGATGAAGGTCGTATTTGACACGATTATTATTCTTAGAGGGATTATGTAAGTGATCAAACCAACACAAAACTCACACTTATTACTTTGATCATCATCAAATTGTCCGTAATTTTTACATTAGACAATATGTATCTATGTAATTTATCTATCTTATTGTGAATTTATTACAGGTTTAACTTGGCTTACGTTTATCCTGCATACCAGTGCTTTAAAAGTTGCAAGATGGACGATCCGTCCATCGAGCAGCTTCTTTTTTGGTGCCGTTATGGGTACGCATAACTTCATTGAATTTATTTCCCTTCACAATTAAGTAGCAAATTGTAAAATTAAATTAATTACACCATCTTCATTAATTCAATTTTTTTTTTTTTTTTTTTTAGGATCTTAGTAATTGCGCTGACAATTTGTGAGAATATTGCTAGTATTCTCACTTTAAGGTAAGCTTTCATTTTTATAGATATTGCGTGCGTATATGCTTGCCGGTTAATAACATTTTATTGAGATTCTAATACAATTGATTTGATTTTATTCTCTGTTTTTTCTCAGGGTTGCTTCGTTGGGTGAAGCTAAGATGGCCTTGTTGATATACTTGTGGTATCATAAAACTAAGGTGACATAAAAATTCATAATTGTATGTTATTGTTTATTTAGTATTTTACTACGTACACTACTCTAAATCCAATTTTTATAATTATATTGTATTACAAAATTAATTAAGAATTGACTTGTATAAATTAATTCTGTCTCATCAGGGCACAACATATGCTTACGAGTCTTTCTTGAGACCGTGTATCTCCAGGCATGAGATGGAAATCGATCTTTTTGTTCTTGTAATCAAGAGAGCAGGTGATGGTGCTCGTCGTGGCTTGTTGAAATTTTTATTTGCTCATTACAACAAATTGAACAAGAGTGTGAACAAGTTGATATCGATGATGTCGGACGAGAATGGAGGAGCAAGGCGGGAAATTTGGTATATGTTGGCCACGTTCACATGGTTTATTTCTTTTCTGATGACCGTGGCCTTGGACCCCACCTTTCACAAATTCATGCAACGGCTGATCCAACAGCTTTGGAAACTAGAGACACTTAATGGGGTTAAAGAATGGATTATAGAAGGGCTTATCAAACAAGTTGGAGAGAATGGAATGGACATAATAATCCTCTCTTGTTTATATTTACCCACAGTGCTTGCCATTTTGTTTTGGTATGCTGAATTATTGCGTGTGCTAGCCGACTCGGAGAAAAGTAGCCGAATACACTTGAAACTTACTCCTAAGGCGAGGTGCTTTTGCGAGAGCATGTTTGTCGTGACATGCGCGGTGATGACTCACCGCATCGAGGATAATTTCGTGAATCTTTTTGCAAGGTGTTGTGCTTGCTTTCATGTTATTCCTCTGGTCAATCTTATTGGGGCGAAGGACATCTTCGGATTTGTTGATTGCTTGATGGCTGTGGTGGTTGAGGTGGGGCTATGCATTGGCAAACAATGTCCAAATTACGCTCCACTAGTCATTGCTATTGTTTTAATCCTTGCTTTCTGTCTCAAGGACCACTAAGTATAGAGATACGACTACTTTAATTTGCTATTATTGTTGTAATAATAATTTCTGTCGCTTAATTACTGGATTTAGTAGTATTGAGAATCATGAGTTAAATCTTCTAATTCCATGCACGTGGGCAGAGTATGTTTATTTTATATTCTTACCTTT